AGTTTGTTTAAATTGTTTATTATTATAATGAATGAAAAATTCCATGTTACTTGAGTTCGTGGTTGCATCACGTGCACCTATTGAGATAATAATTTTAAGAAAATTCATATGATAATATTTCTGATATTTTGAATGAATCATTGAAAACGTGATTTGATTTAATCAGAGCCAATCAAATTTATTTACAAATCAATATTTTGTTTGATTTCGTAAATGTGTTTGTCTTCCGTTGTAAATTGTGAATTAATATACTTAATATTGATTTAGCCTTCTGATAAAATTTAATAACTTGAACTATTTAAAAATCATTGTTTGAAATAAATCCTCTTTCATTCGTAATCATTATTAATCTATGTCTTTCCTTATATGATATTTTTTTATTTAGAGAAATTTAATTCAAGAAATGGCTCAATAAACGACTTTTGAAATTACAGAGATACCATATACAAGACAGCTTTGAAGCCAAACGAGCTAATTTTTTACAAAATTATTTGAAAATAAAACACAGATTACGAAATTTATCTAGTAGAAAGAATGAGTTATACCATGGTACAGAATCATCAACAATTGAATTTTCTTCCAGTAAATATATCGTTAAGAAATTTTTAGAGGCCTATGATGTACCATTTTCTCTGGAGGATAGTGATACTATAAATTCAAATAAAATCATTAATACAAATATTACATTTTATGATTGCAACCAAAATAAGAATATGGTCTTGATGGATTTGATTTTAACATCATGCAGTGATTATAATTTGTCTGCAGATTTAATTTCAGTTTTGAACGATTTTTCTTGGAAAGAAGAAAGCCCCTTTAAAATATATTTGAACAAATTGATAGATTTCTTCAATGTTTGGAAAGAACATAATCGAACATATAACAGAAATTTTAATAATATTAGTCTAATGGATATTATTATTAATGAACATTTTCCAAATGATATGAATAAATTCAAACAGATTTTAAAGTTCAATGAAGAGCTAAGAAATTTATTGCCAAATTTAGAAATTATCGGAAAACATACAGAAGAGAATTTTAAGAAGACCATTGAACTTTTGGCACAATATCCATATGTTAGCTTTAATCCTTCATCAACACAACCAAATTATTTGCAAAAATTATGGGACTATTTACAAAAACTAAAAGAGTTAATCCATATGGATTTAAATTGTGATAATGAAATAAATATATTCAATTACTTACTTGTTCCACTAGAAAAAATTATTGGAGATTTAGTGCATATTAGAGGTATTTTACCAAACAAAATAGAACAAATCACAAATGGAATGAACATAAACTTATTTGAAATATTAGTATCGGGTTTGACCAATGAATTATGCAATATTGCTTCCATTAATGATCATAAATTTCATTTCAATGATGGAAATTTTGAAAATTCCAAACCAATTATTAATTTTGAATTAAACTACAAACCAGATATGATAGTGGTGGCATATTTAAAAAAACACAACTGGCTTATTGCATATCTCATAGAAAAATTATTTGATTTTAACACTACTGACGACCATAATACTAATTTATTAAGAAATGTTTTTAATTTAGAGAGCACACAAAATCTTAAGAGTCTATATGGTGGTAATGAAGCGAAATCAGCATTAAATTATCTAGTAGATATTAATTTATTTAATACATACTATGAAAAGAATGATATTGAAAAAGAGGCATTATTAAAAATTTTTATATCGTTGCCTACGATTCAAATGAAAAAATCTACATATCTAAGAAATAAGAAAAATTCTTTATTGTGGGATTTATCAAGAAAACATTGGAAATATATAAAATTTATAGATAATATTGAGTTGCAATATGATTGTATAAATGAAAATATGTTAAATTGGGATGAGAAGTCTTTAAAATTAGCTTTGGAGTATATTATTGAACATATTAATTTGAACAATTTGTCTTTGGATAAACAAAGGTACTTGAAAGACAAATTCAATAAAGTTCTAATGTTTGAGAAGGTAAATTTGTTTTTGTTATATTTAAATAAAACATTAAAAATTATAAAGTATATCAACAATTATCTTTGTTAATTTATATGTTCTGTATATAAAAAAACAAAATAATTAATGTTACAGGTTAATTCATATTTATTGGACTATAATTGGAACAAATTTCAAAATATATCAAAAGAAGATGCAGTAAATATATTAGAGACTCTTCTTATGAACAAGCAGATTGAATTAAGCTTAGATTGGATTGCTCTATATGGAATTACAAAAGATCAAATGTTATATTGATGAAGATTTCATTAGTGAATCACTTGAAGTGAACCAAAAAAACATGCTCATAATATCGAAATTTCTTCATGAATTAAATGTGAATCAAGCATTGGTTGTATGTGAAAAATCTATATTGCATGTTAATAATATCAACGCATTTAAAGTATTTGGTCAATTTATATTGCATCATGAAAATACAATCGTTGATTACAATTTAGTTATATCCATTAATATTCTAATGAGTTTAGAACCAAGTGATGCTTTACCGTTTTTTAAAGTTATAAATCAGCCTTTGCTAATAATTGAGCAGTACTTAATGAACTGTAAATTTGATAAATTGATAATGTGTCTAAAAATCATTAAAAAGAAACTATTAGATGAGGATAAAGTTGAAACAGATACTATAACAATGATTCATATTGAAAAATTATTAATAAATTATGCAAAGAAATCATTAAGATTTGATGTTCCAAATTCTGCAAGGAATTTTTCTTTCAATGAAGACTTGATACAGCCTATAGAGAGTCCAGTGGAGGAAATGTTCACAATGCCTCTAGTTGCTCCCAAAAAATCTGAATGGATCCCAAATGAATCAGCAAATGAATGTATGTGTTGCAAACAATTAGTTTTTACGATGTTTAATAGAAGACACCATTGTAGACGATGTGGCAGAGTTGTATGTGGATTATGTTCAATGAACAGGCTGAAGGTGAGAAATAATGTCTACATATTCAATTAATTATAAAACAATAACAGAATTTTCTTACAATTACAGATAAAATTATAATTAATGTTAATATAAAACTCTCTAATTTCTTTTAGTTATCTGCTTATAAAGATTTAAATGTTCGTGTTTGCAATCAATGTTATGATCAAACAAGAATTGCGGAAGGTATTTCCAGTGACTCTTGCACATCAGACGATGTTTCGTCCACTTATTCAAAAAGAGATTATAATCAATCAATTAGTGAAAATATTAGTGATGAAAATGAATGGATATTAACAGGAGATTTAGATCGAGACAATGCTGTAAGAGAAGAATTTGGGTAAAGTTGTATGTGTAGAACATCTTATTAATTGGTGTATATTGTTTTTTAGAGTCAGCAAATTATATAGCTAAAATATATTTATTAATTATGTTATTATATATCCTAATATGTAATAATTTAATACTTAATGGGATTTCTTATAGTTATAATTGTTATGTCGAATACAAAAATTAGTTTGATACAAAATTTCAGTAACTGAAATTACAATTTGATCATGTTTTTTTGAATAAAATATATTTTTGTGTGCTATTTTTTTCAACATCGAAAAATCAAAAGCAGTGTTTAATATAGTAAGTACTAACTGTATTTTATTTACAGTTTTACGCATGCTCCATCAGTCTCATTATGTTTATCAATTCTGTCTCTTTATGATGACTCAGAAGAAGCACCAAATTTTTTGCTGTCTGAATGTGATGCTGTGATTAGAATAATGAAGCCAAAAATTATAGGAGTACCCAATAATGAGGTCAGAACTAAAAATAGAATATTATGAAAAATCCGATTCGCTAGCTTTATGTTTTCTCGACGTTTCAAGCCATTTTGAATCGAATGAGGCCAAACTTGGGAAAAGTATGTGTGTGTGTGTGTGAACAGATTTTTTGCTGTAAATCGACGTTTTTTCAAAAACGGCTAGACGGATTTCAAAAATTTAAAAGCCATTCGATGTATCTAGATGAGGACTAGCGTTTATCAGTTTTGTGCAACGATCGGCCAAGCCGTTTCTTTATAAATAGCAGAAAAGTGAAAAATTTTTCGTTCACGTTTTAGCCTGCAATTATGAATCGATTTTGAAATTTCAAAAACCGTTTGAAAGATATTGGTCGGGAATCGTGCTGATTAGTTTTTAGTAAAGATGGCCCGGGCCGTTTCTTGCAATGAAGTGTTAAAAAAAATTTTTTCGACGATTTTTATATTTTTTTTTTTTTGACGGTAGATACCATAGTCTTATAGATCTTACTAAAATATTACGGTCCTACGACAACTCGTTTAACTTCAAAAATTCGTCAAAGTTTGCAAAAATTAGTATCGGTTTTTTGGCATTTTGTCAAAATTATACCTTTCATCGTTTCATCAAAAACGCCTGAATCGATTTTAGAAATTTAAAAGCCATTTGATGTATCTCAATGAGGACTATCGTTTTTAAGTTTGCTGCGACTATCTGCCGAGCCGGTTCTTTGTAATTTGCAAAAATGTGTTAAACTTTTCGTCCACATTTAAGCTCATACTACCGAATCGATTTTAAAAAATCTACCAAGCCGTTTTCTCGTAATTAACTGTTGAAAAAAAAAATATGAGCCGATTTTAATGGAACTTTTTTTGGCGATATATATCATGGTCTTATAGAACTTACTGAAATATTACGATCTTACAAGTAGTTTGATTTTAGACGATTTACTTGGTATAATGATAGAGTGCTTAATAAACATACTAACCATTGAAGTCCTACGGAAACTGGTTCAATAATAAAAATCATTGATTTGTGAAACTTTGCTTTTAGATAATTCTCCGAGTTAACATGTTCGTTCGTTTTCAAATATGTGTAATAAATCCACTCGGAATACTTTTATTCACTCCTAAATTAATTTATTTTTTAGTGATTAAATCGATTATTTAAACATATCGGGAAGTTCGTGTAACTTGCCTCAAGGCAAAATACTATAACCAACTAGTTTATGATATTTAAATTATTACCTAAAATAACTAAATAAAAAAAATATATTACATATATAATGTTTACAATATTAAACATATTTTAATCATACATTGGCATTAATTTATTTAACTGAAGATTATAAAGTTTTAATAAAAAGAAATGAATTTTCAGATAGATTACTCATTGCTAATTGAAATAATGCGATCAATGGCAATTGCAGCTAAAGTGAAGTTTTCTCATCTTATACAATTAAAAACAAATTTTACCTCTGAAATGTCTGGGACAAATGATGCAATAGGTATATTCAATCACAATATTTTTAAATCACTTTTTACACTACTTACAATTCTTGCAGAAAATAAATGTACTTCTTATTACTATGCTGGTATTTCACGTTGTGATTATATACTGAATTATGCTGACTTAGCACAATTGCTTGTGGAGCATAGTTGTGAAGGACTCCTTACACAAACCATGGAAGGTGGGTTATAATTTATTATTGATTAGTCATTTTATGAATAATATTATCATACTTTATATATTTAATATCTCATAGATATTTTTATATATATTTTTAGTAGCTTTTATGGTGTTCAATTGTAATTTGTACATTCAATTAATCTTGTTTTTGTTTTTACTAAGCTAAAAATGTACTTTTTATTTAATGCAGAATATTAATTATTTACATTTAAATTTTAGCTTATGATATTCAGATATTGCGTGAGCAACTGATGCTATCTGAGCGATGGACAGTGGCACTTGAAGTTTCTTTGAAAGCGGGTCTTGACAAAGCTAGTGTGTTTGCAGCTTGGGGTAAAACTTGTTTAAGGGCTGGTGCTTTTTTAACAGCTAGAGAGAAATTTAGTCATTGTCTTAAAGCAGTACATAATTCATCGGTATATATTAAATTTTTTTTATAATAAACTATTTAAATCAATGTGTATTACATATATTATTAGATATATTTTTAAATTTTATCTGTATGGTTTGCTTTTTTAATCTAACTCGAAACATTTAAAATATGTTTTTTTACTCAATTTGAAAAAAATTGTTACTATAATATTATATATAGATTTAGTTTAGGAAAGCACACAATCCTGCTTTTGTAGCCTTTAATTTAATTTAATTATATAAATATTCTATGTTTAACAAATTATATTAATTTTTATTAAGTTGTTGATCTTTATATGCAGACATCTTCCAGTGCACAACATCAGGAGATATTTACAGTTGAGAATTTCATGGAAGAAAAATATTCAAGAAATGTTTTTAAGTATGCTACAAATTATACTGACAATAATATACAAGATTCAGTTTCTAAAGTACCAATAAATGCAAGACCTTCCAAAGACCCTATATTATTAAATGAAATAATAGAAATTCTAGAGAAAACAACATACACTATTGATGCAAGTATAATGAAAAATTTTGAAGAAATTAAACAGTCCCAAGAAAATTTATTACAGAAAAAAATAGGTGGTCATATGAGAAACAATTTACCAGAACCTCCATTATATGTTTTACATACATTATCTAATTTAAAAAATATTATGAATGGCATATATGAATCAGAGGTGGAGGGTGATAAATCTAAACAAAAGAGCAAACGTGTAAAAGCTAGATCGGATAGCATTCAACATCAATCACCCGATAATCATGAAATGAAAAATTTAGAAAAATTTATTTTTGATGAATGTAAATATTATTTGAAGACATATGGATCTCATGAAGGAATTATAAAGTTTTATATGCAACATTCCACAGTGAATCAAGTTTTAGAATATATTTTAAATAATACTGTAGATAAAAATATATTTACGGAAGCAGTTTATATGGAGTGTTTAAAAACTGGATGTATCGAAACTTTGCACCATCACATGGCTTCCATGGATTCAACACTCATTATCTGGAAGGTATAGCGCATATTTAAAAAATATACTATTTTACTTTTAATATTTTCAACGTTTTTGTTTTTTAGGACTATCTCAGCAATACTTGTAGATATTTAGAAAAATATAAGTATATGAACACACTCTACTCATTACAACTATTTATGAAAGATCTTGTAAGAGCCAGCATGACGTGCATACATTTTTATTCATTTAATTGCTCCACATATACTAGTTTACATGAAAATGCAGAATATTTAAATACCGCGGAAAAGTTTTTGCGGCAGGAGTTAGAAGCTGCTGTCACAACAACTTCATCAACGTTCCAAGTATTAAAAGAAGCAAGTGCAGCAGCATCAGGTTTCATTAAGAAGTTGAGTTATCGTGAGTTGGATAGACATATTAATACAATATGCAAGCAAAGAGAAGTTGCTAAATTTTTAGCTGGGTGTGAAGTTCATGGTCGAGAGACCTTTGTGAAATTGAATAAGGTAATGCATACACTATCATCAATGTGGTCATAGATCATGTTTATGTCATTTTGTAAAGAAATTTTTCAAAGGTGTAATGATCTGTTTCTTTTTTTTAAAAAAATCATTGCATATATATATCTTCATAATATAATTTAAATAACAATTATTGATAAGTAGAGCTACAGATTCATATTTTTAATAGGCTAGAGAAAGATTCAGATTTATACTAATTTAAAATGTACATAAAAATAAAATACGATAAACAACTCTAGATAATTCTGAGATTACAAGTGAAAAAATTTGTTAGGATTAAGTCTCAACTGCAATGTTACTTTTTATAAAGGTTTTAATTATTTATTGAGCTTCATTATAGTTTTAGGCATTCTAAAAAAAAACATATTATAATTTTCAGATGTTTACAAATGACAGCAATGAATCAAATTGTTTGCAGTTACCAACTCTATTTGGAAATCAATTAGATAGATTGCAAGTAGCCACATTTGTAATTCTTTGTGGCCAGAATGTAGAGGAAGGATTTGGACTTGCATTCAGGTATCCAAATAGTCACTATTGATACTATTAATTTTAAGTATAATAGTATATTGAAGTTTATATAAAATAAATATGAGATCATAATCAGTGGTGTTGTCGAGCCAGAACGCGCCGGAACGTCGTTTCGGCAAATCATTTTTGAGCCGGAACGCGTTCCGGCAAAAAGAATTCGCAATATACCGAAAGTGATTTAATAAGTGAATTTTATAAATTATAATTTAACTAATTTTTATTAAACGTTCCTATATTATTGTCATATACATACATATATGTGCACAAAATGGGTTTTGTAATGATTTTTGTTTCTTTCCTTTTCGAACGGAACCGGAACAAACATGAAAACCGTTTTTTGAACCGGTTTTTTAAATTTAGCGTTCCGGCAAAAAAAAATATTAGCACAACATCACTGATCATAATTATTATGTTTTTTCTCAAGAAATTACCATAGTACTATTTATCTCATTTTATATTGCATAATTCTTATTTTGTACTTAAATTATCGTTATTTTGTTGTATTATCAACTATTAATACCGTCATTTATATTTTGCCTGGAGCAGGACCGTCATATTTCAACCTCTTTTCTTGCTTTTTATGGTTAATTGTTTTACATTTTATTTACCAAACTTTCGCTTTCATGCGTATCTTTTCTTTGCTTCGGTTTTTATCTTGTGAATTTCTTCTTCAAGCAAGTTGTATATCATTTGCGTCATTATTTAACCATGCTCATGGCCATCACGCAACCGCTTTTTTAACTTCCCGAAGGAGAAGACCAAATTTGAGAAAAAGTATGTGTTTGTGTGTGTATGTGAACATATTTTTTGCCGTAAATCGACGTTTTCTCAAAAACGACTGGACCGATTTCAAAAATTTGAAAGCGATTCGATGTATCTCGATGAGGACTACTATCATATGTCAGTTTTGCGCTACGATCGGCCGAATCGTTTCTTTGTAAATCGCAGAAAAGTGAAACAAATTTTGTCCACGTTTTAACCCGCAATTCTGACTCGATTTTAAAAATTCATAAACTGTTCGAAAGCTATTGGTTGGAAATCGACCGGATTAGTTTTTGGCAAAGATCGACCGGGCCGTTTTCTTGCAATAAAATGTTGAAATTTTTTTTTACGATTTTTATGATTTTTCTTTCACGGTAGATACCATAGTCTTATAGATCATACTAAAATATTGCGGCCGTACGACAAGTCGTTTAATTTTAAAAATTCGTCAAAGTTTGCAAAAACTAGTATCGTTTTTTTGGCATTTGACAAAATTAGACCTCTCATCGACGTTTGCTCAAAAACGCCTGAACCGATTTCAGAAATTTAAAAGCCATTTGATGTATCTCGATGAGTAGTATCGTTTGTCAGTTTTGTGCGACGATATGCCGAGCCGTTTCTTTGTAATTTGGAAAAAGTGTTAAACTTTTCGTCCACATTTAAGCTCATACTAGCGAATTGATTTTAAAAAATCAAAAACTGTTCGAAAGATATTAGTTGGGAATGATATTGATTAGTTTTCAGTGAAAATCTACCGAGCCGTTTTCTTGTAATTAACTGTTGAAAAAAAAAAATTAAGCCGATTTTTATGGAACTTTTTTGGCGATATATATCATAATCTTATGATAGAACTCACTGAAATATTACGGCCTTACGACAAGTAGTTTAATTTCAAAAATTCATCAAAGTTTGAGAAAATGAATAGTTTTTTTGACGTTTGTTAAAATTTAAATTAGACGATTTACTTGGTATAACGATATAGTACTTGGCCTTAATGAACATAGTAAAAACTAAACCATTAAAGTCCTACGGAAACTAGTTGAATTATAAAAATTATTGATTTTTGAAAATTTGCTTTTAAAAAATATTCCGAGTTAACGCGATCGTTCGTTTTCAATTATGTGTAATAAATCCACTCGGAATACTTTCAATCACTCATAATTTATATTTTATTGATTAAGTTGATTATTTGCACATATCGGGAAGTTACTGTAAATTGTCTCAAGGCAAAATACCAATACCAACTAGTTTGAGTACGAGTCCTATCCGGCGTCCTTTCCTGTTCACAGTCGTTTTTTCAGTCTATTTGTGAATTTGTTGTCCTTCCTTACTGTTCTCTCGGTTTTAATTATTTAATTCTATATATGTTATTACAATTATGTTACAGAATAGCTCAAGATTATCAGTTGCAAGGATCGCAACTCTACCGCGAATGCGCGCGTTATTTAGCGCGCTGCGGTGATGGTTTGAATCAAGTGGCTCAACTTTGCCGTTGTGTGCATTCCAGTGGTCTCAATCAGCAAAAGGCTTCAATTCTTGTTGATGAATTGGCAGCTGCTGCTCTATATGAGGCTAGCATACTGCAGTCTTCCAAATGCTTGGACGGAGCAGACGCCGTCGTAAGGAGTGTTAGTGATATTGGTGTTATGGTTAGTAATTATTTCTCGATAATTGATATTGTTTTGCGTCCAAGACTTTCAAAATTTTTGCATTATTTTTTAAATTTCATTAATTTCTGAACTATATATTATTATAACTTCTATTTAATTATAGGCAAATAATATTTCAAAATGAATATGAATCAAATTTACATCATAAACCTAACTAAAGCTAATAATGAATATTAACAATAATAATTCAAAGGTTTTTCGGAAAGTAATTTTGTTTTTTATAGATATTTTGGCACTCAATTTTCCAACAATAAACAATTACTTTAATAAGTTTTGTATTGGCAGTTTTGATCAAGCATCTCTTGTCATATTTCTGGTATAAGCATAATTTCGAGAAAATAAATTTTTTAGTCGTTATTAGCAAAAAACTGATCAAAGTGCTTTTTGACATGCTGGTTTGAAGTAAAGGTTTTACCGCCTAAAAATTTTTTTAGAGGCCAGAACAAATAATGGTCCGATGATGGCAGGTCTGGAGATTATGATGAATATGTCATTGGGTCCCTTTCAAGCTACTAAAACTTTTGGCGATTGACCAAACTTATGTGAGGTCTTGCGTCGTCTTGATGCAGGACTATACTTTGCTTGTGGGTTAATTCTGACCTTTTCTTTGAAGTATATCATTTAGTTTATCTAGCTGATGATATAAGGCATCCGAATTAACCGTTATGTTATCCTGGAAAAGCTAAAAAATGAACAACTCCTTTAACTTCTTACCAAACATACTGCATTACCTTTTCCTGGCAAATTTCAGGTTTGCACCTGTCTTGAGCAGCTTTTTCTTTTTTCTTTCATGGGTAATTCCGAATATTGTATTCTTTACATCCCATTTGACATTCCTAATGACAATTCGCTTCAAAACCTGATGATTTTTAGGACTTTTCAAAGGCGAATCGCGGACGCTAGTGCGACGACACACGTTTCTTTCTTTTGAGTGGTCATGAACTATGAAATTTGATAAATTTTAAGTGAATGGGATCGCATGTATTGTTATTCGCTGGTTTGCATCAACTACGCCTTTCTCGCGTCTTTATCAGCTTCAAGTGTACTTCTCGCACTTGGACAGCAAAATACCAGGAATAGACTGTAGCAAACCAATTTTGGCACTGTTGTATTATCAATCAATACGATGGAAATGATTTCGTACACATCGGTCAATTTCATTTTGACTTTAACAGTATTTTTACCTTTTCTCAGAAAAGTAGTTTATTTTACACTTTCTTCAGAAGTGTAAAATATGTCGAAAATTTAATTATTTAGTGGCACCATCCAAAAACTACTGCATGTAAATTGATTAGAATTTGATTTTTCAAATCATATAATAAAAACAGGGCTTAAGTGTAATGTTGGGTTCAAAACAATATAGTTAAATTCTGGTGGTAAAAAAACGAAGAGACTCTCCAAACAACCTTATATTTAAATCAGAATATGGGAAATACACTTCAGACTAAATTGCGCTTGATCGAAACAGAGTGCTATATATAATTATTGAGCATTAAGTAGTTGTTAATATTATTAAAATTGCATTAGTTGTTATAAATAATTCTATAGCAGTTTGAATGTAACCCTACTAATTTTGTTTCATTTTTTTATGTGTACGCCATAAACTAAGGTGACCATAGTTTTTCATGACAAAATCTGGACGGCAACTTGTAAATATACTAATCCGGGTTTGGGGGTGTGGTTTTATACCAAATAACTTAAATATGATTTAAAGTAACAAATTCTATATAAGGACACAATAAAAATTGGATTTTATAATGAATAGTAAAAACGTTATTGTACAATTATATTTTATATAATTCTTATATTTTTTATCTATTTTTTTCGCTTTTAAGCCTTGTATAAAATGTTCAACTTTCCTCGTAAAACGTAGTGAAAACAGTACTCATGCTGGTCGAAAGGCAGTCAAAAAGTTCATTTTCATAACTTTTGCTAGTTTTTATAAAATTGAAAATGAAAGTTCGAAATTATTAATGTGAGAAGCTACTTTAACTCGCCTTAGCAATTTTGTATTTGTCAATTTTTTCATTCACAACAATACGTTATAATCGTTGTATATATAATTTGCAGATATTTGTTGCAAGTTGTAATTTTATCATCAACTAATTGCGAAGAATCAATCCAAATTTAATCTTATCGAAAACTCATTATCTGGCTGCTCGCCAAAATTATTTTTTCCAAATTTCTTTTGTTACTTGGGGGAGATGATTAGATTATCTGAGTAAATTCTTAATAATCTTAAAAATAATATCACTTATTTCAGATTTCTTGTTATATTAATATTCGGCAACTAAAGTCTGCTTATTTATTGGCTGTGAAACACAACCGTATAGTAGACGTCCGTCGCATACAGAGAGAAGCGGAAAAGCTAGGCCAAAGCCATGTTGTTGCATTATGCACGAAGCGGCTGAAAATGTGATATTCTATAATAATATATTTCTATGAAACTATTGATATTAAAACAATTAATGTTTATATATTTTTTATATTGTTTAACTATATTTAAATCATTTTATATTAAAGTATTGACCAATGTCATTGTATAAAAATGTTATAGATTATTATTGTAAGGAATATTATTTGTTTTTATAATAATGTTTTTATAAAAATAACATCTATTTAAAATTTCATACTGAGTTTGTCGAAGTTGATGTGGTTACGAAAATTATTTATATATAAGGAATATTTGTTTAAACTTTCAAAACTACTCGAATATGTACACACGCATAAATATGTATATGAATATATATATATATATATATATATATATATATATGTATATATATATATATGTGTGTATATATATTTATATATATATATATATATATATATATATATATATATATGTGTGTGTATATATTTATATATATATATATATATGTATATATATATATATATATATATATAATATATATATATATATATCTTTAATTGATATTTTCTGGATTTTTTAAATAAATTGATAAGGGTTTCTTTTCCGAACATCTACAAAATTTTAGGAGTGAAGTTAAACAAGTTGGCATTTTCAACAGAGTGTTGTACCAGGGTACTTTTGAAATTTTTTTGTTTATGGTCAATCTCACTTAATTCATGTTGCCTTATTCTTTTGTGTACATATTGTGAGGTTTGTCCAATGTATTGGAAAGAATAACAATATTGGCAAGAAAACAGATTATACTAGGTCAGTATTGAAATTGGATGGAGTAGGAGACTTAATGTTCAGTTAAAAAATTAATTCATCCTTATACTCCTCCAATAAATTTTTTACGAACATTAAATCTCCTACTCCATCAAATTTCAATACTGATGTAGTATATTCTGTTTCTTGCAACGACTGTTCTTTCCAATACATTGGACAAACCTCAAAATATGTACACAAAAGAATGAAGCAACATGACTTAAGTGCGGTTTACCATAAACCAATTGATTCAATTAAAATAATCCTGATAGCTTATTTATGGACAAATATAAGCCAAGACTAAAAGTGCAATATAAATTTATTCATTTAGGAATTGTGATAAAAGTTCATTATAAAAAGTGGAGAAGTTCACCAGTTGACTCGATAAAGTAAAGATTATAAACATAAATTACTGTAGTATTAAATATATTACATATTATTAAAAAGATGTAATTTTGAAAATGTTTGAAATATATTTTTAAATTAAATTTACATTATTAATTATTTACAATCACTATAGTGTGTACTCTTTATAAAGAGTATAAAATATTTAGAAGCTTCGATTGAAAGATTGATTGCAATTGATTGTTAATATTTATCAGCAGAGGAGCGAACCTAAATGGGACGCATTAGTTTGTTTAGTTTGATAAATGAAAATTAATATATGTACCTGATTAATATATTATGGAAACCGTGTTAAAGAAATATAGCAAAAAACATATTTGTTCCACTAGCATAAAGATTATGCGGTTATATTATAGCTAATATCTATCATTGTTGTGAACTGGCGTAATCAAGATATTGGTGATGGTTTCCTGCTTTCTTAGGTTTTAACCAGATATTGTTTCAATACAAATTGTGAATCGTATAATAGTTATTATACAATGAAAGAACTATACTATAAAGAAATTATTTAAAAATGATAAAAACAAAAATTAAAACAATGTGAATCTATTAATAAACTTATTCGTTTCCAGTGCTCAGAAGAATAATGCAAGTGCTGCGACCTAAAGCACAATATTGCTTTTCAATTACTTATTTTGATGCGAATCAGAAATCGGATGACTCATATGATTCGAATCAGAAATCTGATGGCTCGACCGTTACGAGTTTATTTGAATTAAGTAAAATCTGATTAGAATCTAGTTGTTGAGGGTCAACCCCTCGAATGATTCCAATTGGCATGTAATTAGTGCTATATAATATAATCATATATATGCAATAATTAGGCTTATATGTAATAGATACATATATAATAAAAATATAGATACATATATAATAACTTTACTAGTTATTACCTACTTTTCGGCATATCTACATTGTTAACTATGATTGTTAATTTATTAACTTATTCCCATAGGGTAATCGCATGGTGGTAATCGCAAGATGATCGAAAATGAAAATTTCTGTATATCTTTACGTTTCAAAGGTTTCTGAATATATTAGCATACCTTAGAAGAAATTGATGCATGTGTGTGTGTGTGTGTGCGCGCGGATACAAATTTTCAACGACGATTTCGGGAACACCGATCAACCTATTTGAATAATTCAAAAAACATTCGATTTGTATTGATAAGGAGACGTGCTGATTAGTTTTTGGCGAAAGCAGGTCTAGCCGTTCCGAAGATACGGGGCAAAAAGTGCCAAAAACGGTAACTCAGTTTTCAAGAGAACGGAGCGTCCGATTTTATTAACTCAAAAAACATTTTACTTGTATTGACAAGATGAAGAACTGTTCAAATTTTTGTGACGGCATTTCCAGCGGTTAAGGATTCTCAATAAAAATAAGTTAAAAAGATGTCATTTGGCGGTCCAAAATATTTATTCGACTTATGTACATACAAATTATCAGATTTTTTATAAAGATTTTAATAATGTATATACATTTTGTGTAATTTTTTTTTTGGATTCCGTACCAAGATTTTTCATTTCAAAATTCAAAATGGTTCAAATAAATGTCCTCGACATTTTCGACAGTATGGATCCATACTCGATTTGAATAATTTAAAAAACATTCGATTCGTATTCATAAAGGAGACGTGCTGATTAGTTTTTAGGCATAGGCAGGTCTAGCCGTTTCGAAGCTAAGTTTTTTTAAAATTTTCTAAAAAATTTCAAACTCATAGAAAAACTTCGAAATTTAAAAAAAAATCTAAATCATCAAGAAAAATCAAATTTAAAAAAATGAACAAATTTCTTATAAACATACACAAAGTTGTAGTTGTAGAACACGCTCGTCGCCTAATTTAAAATGCACTTATGAATTTATATCGTAATGTATTTATAATAAATAATCTATTTGAAATTATTCAAAACAAATATTGATTATTTGCATTTCTCCAATGTTTAATTTCGGTACGGAAAGTTCCAGCAATATGCCTTAAGGAAAGGCACGATGCCAAATGAGAAACAAGTTCAAATTTTAATTCAAATTAAGCGCCATCTCACGACATGTGTATGCTTTAGGTGTCAATGATATGTCAAATTTAAGGAGTGTCTAATCTTTAGCATCTTATCTACGATGAGAATAAAAAACTGACAACTCAAACATCAAATAATCAAACGAAGATGTTTTGTTTCAGAATTTAAGATTTGAACCACCCTTGGATTGCCCCCTAGAAATTGACATTTTGTGATTTATATTAAGTGAAATTTGATACATATGTATAAAATTATATTCTTATGAGCATCATTTCGAAGATACTGGCTCATTATTAGAAGAAATTTAGTAAAAATTAATTCATAGAAGATTTAAGAAATCAATATCTTTAATTTGATTAGTAACATCAGAGACAAATTTGAGTACCAGGAAAAAATCATGGATACCGAAAATATATTTCTTTTTGTGCCTAATTTAATTGGTACTTTCAATATATAATATATATTAAACAATCAAAATAATAACATAGATATTAATTGAAAATTAAATTTGTTTCAGGATATGGCCGAGTGATTTTAGCTATTATTTCCTTTTATTTTATGCCCACAAACTATGTAGTTGCCTGTTGGTGTTATATTATCAGTGGATTACTAGATGCAGTTGATGGACATGCTGCTCGATATTTTAATCAAAGTAAACTAGCCATTAAATATGAATTTATATTATTAATGAGACTATTACATTTGCACATATTAAAGACAATCTTAATTTTGCCTTATTGTTAGTTTATTTATAACATTTGTTCTTTATCATTCAGGTACTAAGTTTGGAGCAATTTTGGATCAGTTGACTGACCGATGTGGAACTATGTGTCTATTAGTAACTCTAAGTTACTTTTATCCAAAATACATGTTTTTGTTCCAGCTTTCCATTTGCATTGATATAGCTTGCCACTGGATATATTTACATTCGTAAGAATTTTAATTGATTAATACTTTTTTAAATAGCAATTTTGTTTATATCGTAATCAATATTCATTTCAGGTCTTTACTACAAGGAAAAGTGTCTCATAAATTCATTGACATGTCTGAGAACCCTATAATGCATTTATATTATACTTCTAAACCAGTTCTATTTGGAATGTGTGCAGGGAATGAGGCTTTTTATGCTGCATTGTATTTGCTATATTTTACTGAAGGACCTTTAAGTGAGTAGAAAAATAGTTTGCAATTTATTAAAAACATTTTGGTATTTGTTTGCAATATTATTATTGAAATGTTTAATACTTGAAAATTTATTTAGTGTCTGAAATCTGATTTGGACTATCATTATTTACCATATAAGTCTAATAATTGCTTTGAATGAAATTATACTCAATTTTGAAATAATGAATTAATGAAGAAAAAAATAGAGTCCACGTAAAGTTCACATACTATTGAAGTAAAACTTTTTTGCTACTGAACAAGATGGCATTTAAGTAAAAATAAATACATCATATAACAATTTTGAATAATGTTTATTAGTAATACGGTAACACTCGTGATGCACACATTTATTAGTGTCATCCATTATACACATTTATATAATGATAAATTATAAATTATATGTTTATAATAGCATTAAAAAGATTTATAATATTTAAAAACAATAATGTAATTAAAGTCATACTTCAAATATGACATGATCGGTTTGTCATTGTAATTAGCATTTAGAAATGAACATTCATTAGAGAAATGAAGTAATTGCTGATTAATAAATTCTGTAATATTTGTTTACACAGTGGATTATGTTAAACAACGCCTAAACACAGATAAATAAATATTTTAAAGTTACATCGTAGTACAAATCTTGATTCAATAAAAAATGCCTGAATCAGAAGAGTATTTTACCCTGTTCCTTGAAAATAATAAAACAAATTAAACATTTGTGCCGTGTACTAAACGAAATTAGAGATTAGAGATTATTCTTATATTAGTTAAGTATACAACGTTGATGCCGGTACGCATAGAACGACAGATCTCTATGTACATACATGACGACTAATCACAATCGACCCGTATAGAAATGATTTCATCGAAAGCGAATGATTTGTAGTTCAGGCGTAACGTTATTTCCGTTGCATTCTTACAGATTTACACCCTAGCCGCGCCTAAAGAAGTTTTACTTCAATAAAGCCCTATAGATTTGTCTCCAAATGTGTAATTTCTGACTTTGAATCAAGCTTTAATCAAGATGAAAATAATTCAAAACTTGTCTTAAAAAAATGCAAAAATAATATAGGATTTTTTTCTATTTTTAACCATATTTCAATTCTTTATAACCATATAATTATTAAAATATATTATTTTATCCATACAGTTGCCGGATTATCTTTATTCAGAATCATTGCTTATTTAAGTGCGCCAATTGCTATCACTAAATCTTTTATATCTATTGTACATGGAGTGGTGGCCTGTGTCAATTTGTCTAAGATTGATGTTGCAGAACGCAAAGAATTGCTCAAAAAACAGTAAATCAATAGGTAAGTAATTATTAAAAGTGGTTTAATATATTCTTTTCATTAGTAGTAATATATTATAAATCGAAAGTGTTCCAGTTTCAAGTGTCAATTGTTTACATTTTTAACAAAAATATTTCAATTGTTATTATTACTTTTAATTTTGTACTTACTGTTTAGAGAACATATAATATTTGTATCAAATCATTACATTAACTTTGATTTGACGAATTCCAAAGAGTTGAACTGTAATTTGCAGTTTTAGTCAGTTCTATTTAGAATGATAAATGTTAATTTAATATATATTTATTTAATATTAATAGTTATTCCTCTAGATAATACATAATAGTTATTACTATTATGCTAGGGGTGCAGTGAGTAGAGATAAGTTTCTCTTAATTTTTGTTGAGAGATTTTGATAATAGATGTAATGCATTAAATGTCCTTATTAATGTGATCAACTTCTAATTTTTTAAAATGATTATTTTACAGTTATTTAAAGATTAAATAAAAATTATTAAGTAACAACTTTAGTCATTCTGGGAATTAAATTTGATAACTGACAATAGCACTTTTACACAGGGTAATTTTTTTTTAATTAGTAAATTTGTTTGCATAGTTATTTAATCATTGTGTTTAATGAAAGAAGATATTAGAAATTTGAAACAAATTTAATACTAATTAATGTGTTATAATAATATAATGAAAAATAAGTCATAAAAAATCTATTATGTTCCCATTTTGTGAAATCATGTTGTCTACTTCATCCACTGACTATACAAATAGTATGCTTTACATAACGTTAAAACTAAAAGTGTATTCTATTGCATTTATTGTAATTTCTTTATCACAATTGTTATAATTTTAAATAATTTATGTATGTTAAGGATAATATAATGTCTTATCCCAAATACTGAGGTTATTCTTCATGTTTTACATGTAGATGATATTGCTAGACCATTTATATTCTTTTTAATCTTTTTAATATATATATATATATATATATATATATATAATGCAAATCTCATGGAGCAACTAAGAAAAGATAAACCAACTTTTAAAACCTATTGAGTTCAAACTTAAAATTGATTATTGCCAGAGGCTTGAATGGGAAATATTATTTGAGATAATAGTTTAAACATTGTTTAAATAAATGAATTGTAATAAATATTAGTAATATTACTATTAACTCAATCACCATGAACAAGTTTAGCAATCAACGCTATTTAAAATAAGTGATAATTTTATCAACTTGGCGGCTTTTTTGAAATATGGAGGCATTAAGCACAATAAAATTTTAACTACAGTGTTTTAGAGTTAATATTTCAGTAATATCTAATGAAATTCGAAATATGCAGATTTTTTCATATTAATATTATATGTACTATGATTAAATAAAATCTTCGTTATAAACTATTTGTATTTGGACAAATGGTATTTTGCTTAAAGCAAGCTTCTCGATATGTGTAAATAATAGACTTAAACAATAATAAATTAATTAATTTGAGTGACTTATAAGTATTCCGAGTGGATTTAATACACGTTATTGAAAATCAAACACGTGTCTTTCTGGAAGCAAATTGAACCCGTATCCGTTGGTTTGCGTTGGTTTATAATGGTTTGGTACAGTGGCGTCGGAACCGTATGGGCTGTGTGGGCTTGCCCACCCATCAATCTCAAAAAATTATATGGGCTAATATGCCTAAAAAAACGAACCCATTGCCTGTCTATTAAAAAAAAAAAAAAAAACGAGCCCACCCATCAAAAAATTGCTCATTAAGACCAGGTACTCTATCGCCATACCAAGTAAAACTGATTTTAACTAACAGTTTTTCAAACTTTTTTGTAATTAATTTTTATAATTAAACGACTTGTCGTAGGGCCGTAATATTTTGGTTAACTTACGTTTACTTAAGACAGATTGATTTTGATAGATAAGATAATTTGATATTTATCGTCAAAAAAAGTTTCATTAAATCGACAAAAAATATTTTAGACACTAATCAGCACGATTCCCAACCAATATCTTTCGAACGGTTTTTGAATTTTCAAAATCGATTCCGTATGGTGGGCTAAAACGTGGACGAAATATTTTACACTTTTTTTTTTGCTAATTACAAAGAAACGGCTCGGACGATCGTCGCGCAAAACCTATAACCGCTAGTCCTCATCGAGATACATTGAATGGCTTTTAAATTTTCTTCCCGTAGGGTAAGTTATAGTAATCGCAAAAAAAAAACGAAAATGAAATTTTTTTTATATCTTTACGTTTCAAAGGTTTCGGAATATTTTGGCATACCTTAGAAAAAAAAGGATGTATGTGTGTGTGTGTGTGTGCTGATACAAATTTTCGTCGACGATTTTGAGAACATCGATCAACCGATTTGAATAATTCAAAAAACATTTGATTCGTACTGATACCGAGACGTGCTGATTAGTTTTTGGCGGAGGCAGGTCTAGCCGTTCCGAAGATACGGAGCAAAACGTGCCAAAAACGGTAACACGGTTTTTAAGAGAACGGAGCGTCCGATTTTAAAAATTAAAAAAACATTTTACTTGTATTAACAAGATGCAAAACTGATTAAATTTTCATGAAGGCAGGTCTAGCGGTTTCGTAGATCTAGTAAAAAAAAGTAAAAAAAATGCCATTTGGCGGTCAAAAATGATATGCACATCAAATTATTACATATTTTGTAGAGATTTTAACAATAAGCTTAAATTTTGTTTACATTCCTATATCGGTTCTGTACCAATATTTATCCGTTAGGCGGCGACGCGGCGCTTACGCGCTTCGATATTTTGTCTCTATGCCATTTGGCGGTCAAAAATGATATGCACATCAAATTATTACATATTTTGTAGAGATTTTAACAATAAGCTTAAATTTTGTTTACATTCCTAATCGGTTCCGTACCAATATTTATCCGTTAGGCGGCGACGCGGCGCTTACGCGCTTCGATATTTTGTCTCTATGCAGTAAAAGCAGTACGATTGCTTTGAAAAAAGTTCAGAATTTCTAAAATATCTCAAAATAAATTTTTCTTCAAAAAGTCTTTATTTTCAAAAAAAAGTAAATTTTTGTCAAAAATGTATAGTTTCTTAAAGATCTAATTTTTTCAGAGTAATTTTTTATCAAAAATGTTAATCTTTTAAAAAAAAAAAAAAAAATTGGTGCGGGAAGTTACAGCAATTTGCCTTAAAGCACGATGCCATGCGCCCCACTAGTTCCATATATATTCATATATAGTCAAACAATTCGTAATTAATTATGCCTGGATTAGAGACTGCGTATTCACCTATTACGTTACGATCATAGATAAAAGAAGAGTATGGTTACGATGCATTTCAGGTCTTCTTTTCTCTTTCTTTCGACCAATCGCGTTGAAACACATAAAACATGTGTTTTAAGTGGGGAAAGCAAATTGTGTATTGTGTCAGAATTTGACGTATTACATCAGAAAATATGTAGTTGAAACAAAAATGAAATTTCTTAGTTGTTTTGAAGCAACATACTTAAGCTCTACATGCTTTTGCATAATCGTAAATAAAAACAAATATGCTATAGCAATTCAAAGGTTATTAAAATGAGCGAGCCTATAATTATCACCATCCCAAGTTTTGTGAAGTATGAAAGTGATACAAGTAAAATGAACATCGGTGAAAATCTTTCTAATGGAAGAAAAAGGAGGTTGAATTTGACATGGGAAGAAAGAATTCAAAGAAAGTAAGTGTTTGAAGATAGATCAAAAAAAGTTTTGTGTATCTTGCTGCGACACAAGAGAAATATTAAGTCAATCAGTTTAAAATGGTTATACATTTTACCACACATTTTTTGATGAATGGTTCAGTTCAGAAAGTATATGATTAAGGTTAATTTTTGCATTTCGATTATTTTGATTACAGAAAACTTAAGAATAGAGTGGCCGCACAAACCTCCAGAGATCGAAAGAAAGCACAATTGGAAGAACTGACAGTACAAGTTACCACATTGCAAGCAGAATGCGATAGATTAAAATCACTGAATGAAAAACTATTATACGAAAACTCTATTCTACATAGAAAACTTTCTGAGCAAACTTCTAATTCTACTACAATTGTCAGCTCTGAGCTCTTGAATAGACCAGCAGTGTCCATCACAACTCCTCTGCAGCAGGAGAATGCATCAGAGCTGGCAGTTGTAGCAGAAGGAAAAGTGAAGAATCAAAAATCGATAAGTCAGAGACAGAATCTATTATCAGTTCTTGCGGTTTTAACTTTCCTGATCTCTTACAAGTCATCGAATCAGAAGAATGCCTTGAAAGCATTGCCAACAATTTCTTGTCAGGAACCATCTTCGATGACTTTGCAAAGGTATGGATGATTTTCATTTTGCATAGACAGATACAGAATATGATGTATATTTAAACCTCTTTTATTGCATTTTAGGATTTTGCACAAGATACTAAAACACCCAAAGTTGAAGTGGTCCCTCCAGCACGGTCTTCATCAGAACGGTTGGAACATTCAACACATAAAGCCACAAATCATAAAATTAATGAAATACCAAATACAATAAAAATTGACATGGATATATTACAAGATCACAATGATAATATACAAAATACTACTTATGATGTGGATATATTGGAGTTGCCAGTAGATATAGATGAGCAGGTGGTAGAAATTACAAATGAAGGTGAACCTATTATTCGAGATGGTATTGTATCAATAGAAACTAATTCATCAAAATTAGATGAATCTTGCAATTCAGAGATCTTCAGGTTAAATGATGAAAAAAGTATTCATTTTGATAATGATTATTCAGATGTATCTAATCATTTTAGTAAATATTCAAACAATAAGTATAATGATAATGGTTATGAATCAATGGCATCACCTCAAAGTGAAACTTCTATTACAAGCAGTGAAAATTATTGGGATGATAGACTTTATGAATTGTTTCCAGATTTGGAATTCTAACAGTTTAAATATTTACTTAATATGAAATCATTCCTATTTTTATATTGATATTTTTATTATGAATAAGTTCATAATGGAAGTACCAATTGTTTAAGAATGCTATGCCATCATTCGCCTAATATTAGTAATATATGAAATCAAATTTAATTATGACAAATAATATATAATGTTTAGCATGTACATATTTATTTAAAGTATTTTGTATATTATTATTACAAATTAAAAATAGCTTATCAAATAAAATATATATAAAAAAAAGAAATTTCTATGATTCTATTATGCCTCCTTAACGTTGACTTGTATCTCTAGAACGATACACAATTCCTCTACTCTTCATTTCTCTTATAACATTAGCTGGTAAACGACCTTGTACAGATATAGCATAGATGCCCCTTGCACATCGAGCTACAGAAAAAATGTTTTATAAAGCTTTCATGTTTCAAAAACAAATATAATGATATTCACTTACTTATTCTTTGCCATTTGCAGACCCAACTATCCTCAGGACTCATTACGGCAATCATACTAAAATTAAATTTTAATATAATTAGTAGTTTGCATAAGCCTTTCAATTGATAGCAAATAATCATACTAAAATTTTAAATATATTCTGATTGATGTTGAATATTTAGGGTCAAAGAAAGGCTTTGAGTTACTTCAATTGAAATAAATTGATTCATTTGGTAAAAATATTTTTCGTTCTTTTGTTCAGTTTTTTTGATGTTTGATTTTAATGTGATGTGTTACAGATTTTGGGGAAATATAGCTGAAGTCCTACTCTATACACAAATCTTTCATACAATGACTGCATTTCTGAGTGGACAATGACATTTTATTGAATCAATAAATGATCAATATAAATATACCAATAAATATTATAGCAAACGTATTAAAATATTAATTCTAAATCCGTTAGATACATACCCATCAAAATTATTACTAGTGCAATCATAAACATTGTCTTTATTGTTTTTCATTCGTAAAAATTCGTCACAATTATCGCATCCATCGTACTCAAACTGTTCAAAGCCCTAAAAAATTTCATAATACAATATTATTATAATATATAAAAACACAAGCATTTTTTGCACATACTTTAATAAGTGAACAAACAAGGCAAGCGCGTAGGCCTCGCAAATCTTTTGGAATTGTTTCTAAAGACATGTTTACTATTACTATCAATAGCCAATTAATGGAAAATTATCCCATAAATTATAAGACAAAATTCAACGCTGTTATTGAAATTCTAACCCCAAAGCAAATCATCAACTTAATATGACAGCCATGACCCTAGACAATATTAGAATACCCCGTATTCATATAGACGCTTCTCTCGCCCGATTTTTACGTTCAGAAGGAATACTTAAAGGGTCCTCCGCTCGACGTGGTGGCGCTGCTTTTGGCACTCAAATTAATGGCGCAAAATTTGAAATGAAAATTAATGAATTTTAATACACGGGTATTTGAAACTAAATTCGGTATTACAATCCTTTTATGTTTTGTAATGATACAATAATAACATAAATATACTAGATAATATTATATTATAATAAATATACAATCAAATCGAAATATAAATCAACAAATACACTGCAATACACCGGTTTATATATAATAGATATCACATCTAATCTACTGGAATAACTTCTACACTTTTTTCTACTTATTAATATAAATATTTAGTGAAATTTAGTGAATAATGCATTATAGTGTTAGTTCATTACATCGTCTGTCATTCTTAACTCTCATTAACTAGTAATCATCCCGTGCAAAATTTGATTTTTTCCCAAGTATATTCAGATCCGCGTGAAGTGGTAATCCAATATTAAACAGCTGGAACAGCTTTCTATTTGTGTATTATGTCTTTCTTGTAGAAGCGTATATTTGATTTCTTACACAATTTCCTAGAACTGATCTCTTTCCTTAAAGTGTATTATGATTAGACTAATATGTCAATGCACTACGTAGTATTGTAGTAATTATGTCCTCCATATGAGTTTGAAGCTGTTCTATTCATATTGTCAAAGGGCTATGCATTTGAGAGCAATTCCTGATGAAATCTTTATTAACAAATATACAAACACAAACAAAGAAGAATCGCCATTTTGTAAACTTATACAAAAATAACACTGACGTTTCTTAGTAACCAATATAAAACATTTGAAAATACTGTTTCATCGGCTCACTAGCGCCAAATCTGCGACTACAAATGGACCCCTAAGTATTCCTTCTGAACGAGGATTTTGTTCTAAGTGAAAAGGCCCTGGCCATGACAGTTTATTCATATATTTTATGTGTTGGTATGCCCACCAACATAAGTCAGCAGCCAACATAAAGATTTATGCAAAAAAAACTAGCACCATCTAACGATGTGAGTACGCACCTTTATGTTTGTTTATTCATACATCTTTTATTTTGTATTTAGCTCTTTTGAGAAATGTCAAACCAGTGCCAAATCCGGTTGAAAAAGTGAGTGAAGAAGTAAACAATCTGTAATGTGTTTTGCGTTTTATATCGAGCCCCTTTGTAGAAGGGGCGTTATTTAATTTTGATCGTTTAGTTTTATTCAAGAATTATAAACTAATCACACATGAACATGTAAAATGAGTTACCACATTTATTATTTCTTTTGGTGAAACTAAATAAATAACGAACTGAAATGAAGTTCAATAAAAAAAGCCTCGAAGTAAGTATTATTAATGCACAACCGATGTAATTTACGTCGTTCACGCAAATTTAAATTTTATCTGAAAATTTTCTATATATTCGAAGTATATAATTATAGTTATAACAACTTCAGCTATGATACAAAGCAGCATTCTTGATTTTAAACGATATTTCTTTTGTCAACACTAAATGTGTTGTCAAGTTTTGGATATAGCAAATTTGTATAAAATCTTTATTTGTATAATATTATATTATTATTATATTTATGTGTTATTTTCAGGTATTTTTGATAATTATTATAGCATGTCTTTGCTATGGTTTTACCTTACAAGGAAATTTTGTTTTTGACGACTTTGAAGCTGTAGTAAACAATGATGATGTTAAATGGAATGATAGTATTATTAATATATTCAAACATGATTTTTGGGGAGCCAATATATCAAATCCTTTAAGCCATAAATCATATAGACCTTTAACAGTTTTTACATTCAGGTATTACTTTATATTTTACTTTTATTATGTAAAATAAGAGATAATTATCGAAGTTGAAGTTTGATTTAGTATATTTTTCACATGTACATTTAGTATTATCATATTATATTATATTTTTTTTATTATTATGTTCACTATGTGAAATTCAGAAATTATGAGTTCATAAAATTTTGTTATTAATATAATAAAATAATGTAATATTTAAATAACTTACAGGTTGAATAATTATTTTAGCGGAAATTTGAATAGCACACATATGAAAATAACAAACTTCATCTTATACCTTGTAGTATGCCTTCTTGTTTACTATGTATATAAACTTATAGCTGATGTTAACAGGTAAATTATTTAAATTTACACATACATATTGTCAATAAATATTAATAAATGTATGTTCAACTTTAATGCAGTATTCCATTTATAAGTGCAATTTTATTTGCATCTCATCCAATACATACTGAGGCTGTGAGTAGCATAGTAGGTCGTGCTGAGTTGCTTTCATCATTTTTTTGCTGCATTGCTTTCATTTTATTTAATAGAAGCATAGGTAATAATACAATCAATAGTCTAAGGTATATCTGAATAAAACGTGTTACTAATTTTTCATTCCTGTAATAGGTGTCTGCAAAATTGGTGACATGCTTATGTATTGCATACTGAGTACCTTTTTCGTGATATTAAGTTTGTTGAGCAAAGAAAATGGTGTGATGATAATAGTAAGAAATTAATCATTTAATTCTATATGTATATTTTTATATTTCATAAAACTTTATTTGTTTCAGGTGGTTTGTTTGACTTATGACATACTAAACCAGTGGCAATCAAAGCAAAATTCTAATAAAAATGATGAATTTAGAAAAATCCGATTTGCATTACTAACATCATCTATGATTTTACTTATATTTTGGAGAATGCATATCATAAATTTTGAAACTCCTATTTTTCAGAAAATGGATAATCACATTGCATTTTGTAATGACAAGATCTCAAAAGTAATTGCACAATTTTTAACACTTATGATTTTTTTTGCTTGTTATATCATTTCTTTTATTTACAGATATTATCACAATTATATTTATATTCTTTAAATATATGGCTGCTGCTATGTCCAATTTGGTTGTGCTGTGATTGGTCTTTTGAATGTGTGCCTTTACTTACAAGTTGTGATATAAGAATTATTACCATTCCTGCTCCTTGGATAATTATTGGACTTATAATTTATTATCAGAAAAGGTATCATTTTAAAGTAGCATCAGTTTTTTATATGATAGAATAGTATGTAATCTCTCATTATTTTAGGTTTTTACTTAATGGACTTATATTTATGATCATTCCTTTCTTACCTGCAAGTGGTATTATTACTGTCGGTTTCGTTATTGCTGAAAGAGTCTTATTTATTCCATCAATTGGGTTTTGTCTGATGTTAGGATTTAGCATTCAGAATATTTCAAAGTATTTTTTTAAGGTGGGTGAAAAATTATCTTAAAGACACATTACTTTTGTTATATATTTTCTTTGAAATGTATATTTTAATTTATGATAATGTGTTATATATTTTTGTGATTAAATTTTTTTTGCTTTTTTAAAATGATGATTCAGAAACTATAAAATTTACATAATTTCCAATACCAAGAATATTGCAAATCATATCATGTATTTTATTGTTTTATCTGTGAATAATATGAAAGATATAAGTTATTAAATTCTTATAAATAATTTTACAGCCAATTGCTTTCATCAATTAATACATTTTCAATAATTTGTAATGATTTTCTTATGTATTTAAGTGATGCAACTATAGTTAATATATTAAGTTAAAAATCAAAATAATTAGTGATAGATTTTATTTATTTCTTATAATTTATGAAAAACTGATGAATAAGCTTATTAGCCTGTAGCATATCTGTCACCAATAGCTGATTTAATATTAAATAGTAAATTTATTTTGTAGACTGCAATCTTCTGCTATGTGGCCTTAATATGTTTATGGATTGTGCGAACAAATATGAGAGCTGCAGAATGGTCTAATAGCACAGTATTATTTGACAGTGGAGCAAAAGTTTGCCCACAAAATGCCAAAGTTAGTTTTTATAAAAAATAAATTGTCAGTAATTTATTGACAAGTAATCACTATAAATCTTTCAGATACATTACAATAGAGCTTTGACTGCATCTACGAATAATGATAACCATAAAGCAGAATTATTATATTTGGAGGCATTAAGGTAAACATCATTATATTAAATAGCTTATAATATTAACAAATATTTTCAATATAAATTCAGTTCACAAATTTTTGTTCAGTTAAATTGTCAGTCAATTGTCAATAGTTTAATATAATTTTTTAACCTAATTTAACATACATACATCTTGTTATATTTTCTATTTTTGTTCATACTTGAAATACAGTATTGATTGAACAATGATAGAATATTGTTTTCGTTTGCATAAATTGGTTTGCAATATACAATTGCATATTAAATCAATTAATCATAAAATAGTGAACTTGTTTTATTTAGTTTCGAAATTGCAATAGTGTATATATAAAATTTCAGATAGTAAAAAAGTACAAATGAAATTATATTCAAAAGTAGTTGAAACATTAATGAACATTTTATTGCATACAAGTTTTATATGTTTAATGCGTAATTTTTTAAAATTATGTATATAAATAATTTATTAACATTAACACACATATTACTTTGATTTTAAAGAATTATGTTCTTTACAACAAAAAACTTATTTGATTTTATCTTGAAATGATTATATTCTTTTAATTTGACTTACACATTATGTGTTTTTTTTTTTCTAGGCAATATCCTGAGTATGAGCAGGCTTTAAATAATTTAGCAAATTTATTGCGAGATGCTAAACGATTTGAAGAAGCAGAATCATATCTAAGAAAAGCAGTTCATATCAGGTATTAAATAATATTAGATCATGCAAATGTTATTGAATTTGCATGACATTATTTTTATTATCATTATAGGCCGTCATTTGGTGCTGCGTGGATGAATCTCGGAATAGTTTTATCACAGTTAGGTGAATTTTTAGAAGCAGAACATTGTTACAAGAAATCGTTGCATTATCGACCAAAACATGTAGATACCTTTTACAACCTTGGAAATTTGGTAAATTGAAATTTGCAAGAAACAGCATCTATAAATATTTAAAATAAATGTAGAATTTTTTTAGTATTTGAGCAATAAGCAATACAGAGAAGCAAAGAGTTCATGGCTACAAGCAACGAGAATAGATTCTTCACATGCAAAGTCGTGGATAAACTTAATCACGCTTTTAGATTCACAAGGTAAAAATACAAATAAAAGGTCAATGTTATAATTAATTTTTCTTCTTACGGATGATTTATTTTATTTATAGGAAAAAATGAAGAAGTCAAAAAGTTAGCTTCTAGGGCATTGAATAAATTTACCAAACGAGCCCGGTTTACATTTCCTGTTAGCTAATGCTTATGGAAAATCAAATCAGTATGAAATGGCTGAATCTCATTTTAAATCGGCAATCAGTATTAAACATGATGCATTGTATTTTGCAAATTTAGGTAATATAAAATTACTTATATAATTTGTCAGGATAAAAGCTGCATTTAACTCATTTTCAGGGGTTCTATATCATAGGTGGAATAAGACAAATTTAGCTGAAACAATGTATAAAGAGGCATTGAAGATTAATCCAACATTAAAAAGTGCAAATGACAATTATAACAAATTATTGCATATCAAAAGTAGAAGGCAACATTAAAGTGTGTAATCAGATAAGACAGGTACTAAAAATTACTTTTGCTCAAATATATTTCCTGGACTTATATTAACAATCATATATTTAATTCATTTAAGTGATTTTATTAGAAAGATTCAATAACATTATTTTGGTTTTGGTTTACAAGATTTCTTGATGTTGATTAATGATCTTATAAAGTAATATCAATCATCGGCGTCCTCGGCCACCACCTTTTCCACCTCGTTTTCCTTTTCCACCTTTATTTCCCTTCAATCGTTTGCGAACACCTTGTGCTTGTTCAGTATCATCATCACTTTGGTTGCCGCCGCCACCACCTTTGCGTTTTTTGCCTGATTGTTTTCGATCTTCTATATCTTTCAATTCCTTTGAATAGAAAATGATCAATTATTGTTACAAATATACAGATAGTACTGTACAAATCGTGAGATCTATATTTCATTTTGTTGTAAAAAAAAATTATATGTTAAGATTTTATATTTTTTTCTTCAAAATTTAAAAAATGAACGGCATGATTTTATGGTAACAATTGAGCTAAGTATTCAGCATAGCAATGAAAGCTTTTACAAACCATTCGTGAAGTCCTCTGTGCCTCACTAACTCTTTCTTGTAAGGCCATAACTTCCTCTTCTTCACATTTAAACAATGGTAGTTTTTTTCCAAGCAGTTGTTCAATTCGTTGATACAGTTCAACATCATACTGAAAATAGCAAGCACATTTAAGTTAGCATTATACTCTAAATAAAGTAAGGTAATATTAAATAGTTGGATATATTTTCAAATTTTTAACTTCCCGTAGGGCAAGTTATAGTAATCGCAAAAAAATCGAAATTGAAAATTTTTATATATCTTTACGTTTCAGAGGTTTCTGAACATTTTGGCATACCTTAGAAAAAATGGATGTATGTGTGTGTGTGTATGTATGTATGTGTGTGTATGTATGTGTGTGTATGTATGTGCGGATACAAATTTTTGTCGACGATTTCGGGAACACAGATCAACCGATTTGAATAATTCAAAAAACATTCGATCCGTATTGATAAGGAGACGTGCTGATTAGTTTTTGGCAAAGGCAGGTCAAGCCGTTCCGAAGATACGGGGCAAAAAGTTCCGAAAACGGTAACTCAGTTTTTAAGAGAACGGAGCGTCCGATTTTAATAATTCAAAAAACATTTTACTTGTATTGACAAGATGAAGAATCGATACAACTTTCATGAAGGTAGGTCCAGCGGTTTCGGAGATATAGAGGAAAAAGTAAAAAAATGAGCCATTTGGCGGTCAAAAATGATCATTAGACATATGCACATCAAATTATCAGACATTTTATAGAGATTTTAACAATAAGTATACATTTTGTTAACATTCCTATCGGTTCCGTACCAATGCTTATGCGTTAGACAGCGACGCGGCGCTTACGCGCTTTATATTTTGTCCCTATGTAGTTAAAGCAGTACGATTGCTTTGAAAAAAAAGTTCAGATCTTCCACAATATGTCAAAATAAAGAAAAAAAATTTATTGTTTCTCAAAAATCTTATTTTTTCAAAGTAATTTTTTTTCAAAAATGTTAATCGTTTTAAAAAAAAATAATAATTTTTTGGTACGGAAAGTTCCAGCAATTTGCCTTAAGGCACGATGCCTAATTGCCTTAAGACAGAATTCCACTTACAGCTTTTAAGTTTTAATTGGAAACTAATATTTCCATGATATTTTACCTGAGTAACAAAAGTTATTGACTTTCCAGCTCTACCAGCTCTTGCTGTTCTACCAACTCTGTGTATATAATCCTTGCTGTGCGTAGGAATGTCAAATTGAGCACCACATCAACGTGGGGAATATCTAACCTCTAGGAAAAATAAAATTAGATTAATGATTAACACAAAACAGTAAGTTTATTAATATGGTTACTACCTTGATGCTACATCTGTTGATATCAGTATTGATCTCGATTTGGCTTTAAACTTATTTATGAGCAGCTAATCTTTTATTCTGTGACATCTGACCATGAAGAGGTACAGCCAGCTAATCCTAATGATCTTAAGAGCAAAGCTGTTCTGACAGTATTATTGCATGTTACTGCAAAATATCATAAAACTATTTCCAGACAATTCATTGAGAATGTGAACCAATACACATCTTTAATTTTACTGGAATGAAAATATAATATTGCTGAAGTTTATCCACTGTTTGATATTTTGAAGATACTTCTACTTTCACTGGATCTTGCAGTGATGCCCTTTGTAACTTATTTACTTTTTTAGTCATCGTTGCTGAGAATAAGAAGGTTCTACGTTCTTTTGGTATCACCTAAAAATTATATTTCATAAATATCTGAACAAAGTATGGGTTTATAAAAAATATCACACATACCTTTAGAATTTTATTGACTTCTACTTCAAAATCCATATTCAATATTCTATCTGCTTCGTCCATTACCTGAAATTATTTTATCAGTAAGTACTTATTGTTGACCTATAATAATAATAACCAGTTACCAAGAATTTAAGTGCTCGTAAACTAAATCCTTTAGTATTTTCTAAATGATCAACTAATCTGCCTGGTGTTGCAATTAAAATATGTGGCTTTTTAGCAAGTTGCAGTGCTTGGGTACCATATCCATTCCACCTACTATTACAACGTGATTTAAAACACCTATACTGCTACCTAAAAGAGTAGTAATTTTATAACTTCATTATAATAATTGGCATTTTAAGTTTACTGAAAAACTTACAAAATAATTTTTAGTAACACTAAAAGTTTATAAATCTCAATATGACCTCAGATTGAATTCACTTTTTAAATTGTTAATGTATTTTTTATAAATCTTACCCAAGGCTTTCGAATTGTTCAGAAATTTGAAAAGCTAATTCTCTAGTAGGGGTCAATATTAGTGCGAAATAACGCTGTGGGATTTTGCAGCAAAGCTTGAAGAATTGGTAGAGCAAAGGCGGCTGTTTTTCCTGACCCGTTTTCAGCTAAACCAATTACATCACGTCCTTGTAAGCTGTGGTATAGCTTCTCTTTGAATTTTGGAAGGTACTTTCCACTTCAATTCTGTGCAAGCTTCGCATGAATCTACCAACCCTGTTATAATAGATAAGATGATCAATAATTCATCTCAATTTATTTTGAGATTTGATATTAATTAATTACAAACAATCTTTCCATGATACTTCTTTTTCTGAATCACCATTCACGTTTTCAACACCAATACTATTTTGACTAACCACATCATTTCCATTGGGCGCTTCATCTTCAGATTCTGACTGGTCATTATCAGACTCACTTTCTACTTCGTTATCACTAGCTATACTGTTTTCTTCTTCAGACATTATAATAAAAATTTGTAAAGATAATTTTCTTTTAGCAACGTGATTCTAAAACCTAACCTTAACTGATCAAGTCAATCTGACATTCTACGACAATTCGCGAAAATACTCGAATCTAATTTATTTTTGTAATTCCTATTCGTTAAAATTTTGATATACTTTATATGCCCCTTACTAAAAGTTTTATATATGTTTGTTTAAAATTTGCTAATTCACATTCGTATTTCATAAAACACGTGTTTTTTTTCGTGCTTTGACAAAAACAAAACACGAGGCCCTCTAACGTAGAAAGCTAATATATCGATACATACTCTTCTTTTATCTATGTATCGATATATTTAGATAAGTTTTGTCAGATCCGTATAAGAGAATTGTAAAGCTCTATGCTTCTTCACACAATATCGTTTTCCTCATTCAACAGTCGGATATGCATATGTCGGATATTATGTTTACTTATCTATGCGGATATGAGTCGTGCGGTAAGATGAGAACGTATAAATTTAATATTTTGCGTTTAGGCCAATACGCGTGTTTACATTAACAGGATTTTATTGTCCTGAGTGACAATAAAAATATTGCGATTACAATCATTACAATTATCGAATGTTTTGCAAGAATACGGAGTCGTATGCCGACTGATGGCTTTTCCGTTTTCAAAGATATTAAATTTAATTTTTATTTAAAATATAGACTTTGAGCCTACTCAATAGTATATTTACTTTTGGTTTTAACTGCCTAAACGAGATAAACCTAAATTTGTTAAATATGAAATATAGTGTGCTTTTATTTATTAACACAGTCAGTTGTCGTATGTCATCATCCAAGATCAATTTAAACTGGTCAGTGCAGATCAATACGGCGTCCATAAGCGGTTTATGAGGTAAATATTACAGGATTATAATAAGAATTATAACAAACATAAAAAAATATTGTAACAAGAGTAAAATTTGTATAATCCCACCACAGTGCTCATGGATGATAAATTATTTATTCTTATAAATAACATAACACAGACAAACTATATTTTAGTTAAAAAAATCTAGTACTTACGCAAAAGATTTAAAATTAGCGAATCCAATTTTAAGTCGAAAGTAATAAATTTTTAGAAAGTTATTCGATTTTATTGTAATTTATTAACTTCCTGAAGGAGAAGTTTATGTTTTTATCAAAAAATTCTATTCGCTATTTTATGTTTCTTCGACGTTTCAAGCCATTCTGAATCGAATGAGACCAAATTTGGAAAAAGTATGAGTGTGTGTGTGTGTGAAAGGTTTTTTTAATTTTTTTGCAAATATTTTACAATTACATAAAAATGACAGCAAACTCCAATTTTTTAATGGTACCGAAAATTAGATTTAATTTTTTCGCACTGGGCATGTTAGGCGTAATTTTCTTGTTTATGGATATTGTTAATGTTGTTGCCGAAATTGATTATTATCCAGAATTCACTTTTGTTGATTAATCTAAAAAATTTTAGAAGGACATGCGAGTTTTATGCAGATATTTCCTTTCTTATTAAAATTAGCATGATTTATGGTATAGTTAGAATTATTTAGCTATATATATATAAGCAATTATATATAATTGCTTATATATATAGCTAAAACACGTAATTATTAATTCAATGCGTAAATATTAAGTCAGCTTAAAATTATTCAGCAAGAAATTAGGATCAGCTAGTAGAATTAAATCCATACCATTTTCAGCTCGTACCATTTTGACGCAATCAGACAATTACTTTATGAAGTGAGTTATAGCTTTTTATGTGAAGCAATTTTTGTGTTTTAAAAATTATGGAAAAATCAAACGTAGACGTAAATGCTTGCTCACATATATGTTGAAATAATATTTAATAAACTTCTATGCTTCCCAGTTGACTTTTCTTCAATGAACAAAACACACAAATTCAAAGACAAAGATAAAAATCACACCTAATGAACAAAATACTGGATTAACAGCTAGTCCTTGTTTAAAAAAAAAACTTTTTTTTTAATTCTTTACTATCTGAAAATTAATTCATGTAATACCTATAATAATAATTAGTGCTCTGCCCGAATCGTGTGAGAGCACTGCATTTCCCTTTCCTTCCCTTGTTTGTTATTATTATTATTGTTATTATTGTATTAGATTATTACTATTCACGTTTTTATACACTTTTATAAACTTTTTTCCAAACTCCTCTCACGAGTTGCCAATCATTCTGTTCTTCTGTTTTATCTTCAACTTACATTGTTCTTGCAATATGGGTTTCCTTTCCTTTCATGATTGTGCTTACAAAGTATTTTTTTCACTCTCCTCACTTCTGCTCTTCGGCATTTTTTATTTATCTGTCTACTTTATCTTCTTAATTCATTTCCAGTACCACATACTAAAACTTTTCAAAAAGTTTTTATCAGCCTTATTTAGAGTCCATGTTTCTGATCCGTAATTAGCACTGTTTCAAGTATACCCTTTTTATATATGTACATATGCACTTATATAGTGACATTATTATGATTATAAAATAAAACTAGTTGAAAGTGGCATTTACCCTTAAGGAAGGTTGCATGAACTTTCCGAAATTTGTAAAAATTAACTTAATCAATCGAAATTGAAATTTAGATATTTATTTTATATTTTCAACTGTTTATTTCAAAAACAAAGTTATCAATTCAATTCAATTTAATCTAAACATTGCGATTTCGGAAAGAATTTTCTCAAACATATTTAAATTAACTGTAATTATATTAATTATATTGCACAGACACGTGCTTGCATGCCCTAAAATTGTAGCTTATTATTTTAAATTTTAGTGAATTGATAATTATCAATTATAATTGACTCATCACATCACAAAAGGACACAAATTTTAACTATAATATTTTCTCAAACTTTGATGATTTTTTAACATTAAACTATTTGTCGTATTGCCGTAACACTTTAGTATGTTTTATAAGACCATGATATCTATTGCCAAAAAGGATCATAAAATCGCTAAAAAAATTTTTTCAACAGTTAATTTCAAGGCAACGGGTCGGTAGACTAATCAGTATCATTTCCAACCAATATTTTATTAAAAGTTTTTCATTTTTTAAAATCAATTGAAATGAAAACTGAAGAGTGAAGAATGAAAACTGTTTTCATAATCTCTCATACCACTTACCAGGCACTTCTGTCTGTTTGAGATATGAAAATAATGTATATATATAAATAAAAAAACGGATAAGCCGATCTTCGCACAAAACTGATAAAAGATAATTCACATTGAAATACATCGATTGGCTTTTAAAAATCGTTTCAGGCGTTTTCAAACAATCGTTGATGAAAGTTCTAATTTTGACAAACGCCAAAAAAAAAAACTATACTAATTTTTGCAAACTTTGACGAATTTATGAAATTAAACGACTTGTCGTAGAACCGAAATATTTAAGTGTGATCTATAAGACTGATCTACCGTCAAAAAAAAAAATCATGAAAATCATCGAAAATTTTTTTTAACACTTATCACAAGAAAACGGCCTGGCCGATCTTTACCAAAAACTAATCAGGTCGATTCTTAACCAATATTTTTCGAACGGTTTTTGAATTTTTAAGATTGATTCAGAATTGCGGGCTAAAACCTGGTCGAAAATTTTTCTGTTATTTACAAAGAAACGGCTTGGCTGATTGTCTTTTAAATGGCTTTTAAATTTTTGAAATCGGTCAAGTCGTTATTGAGAAAAGTCGATTTACGGAAAAAAGTCTGTTCACATACACACGCACATATACTTTTTCTCAAATTTGGTCTCATTCGATTCAGAATTGCTTGAAACGTCGAGAAAACATGAAATTAGCATATCGGATTCTTTGATGAACTTTGAAAACATAAACTTCTTTGGGAAGTTAATAAAATATTATATTTTTATTATTATTTATTTATAAATTGTACTCAATAACAGTACAATTAAAAATAGTATTTTTACAAATTTATTTAAATTTTACACATATGTTGATTGCAAATAACTTACTGTTGTATCAGAAATTGCCTTTGTTAATAATATCCGAAAAATACTATGAATAACAATAAACAACAATCAGATATTAAAGCAATTTTATGATGAACCAATATTATTTATTAATTTGGTCTTAAACAGTCTTAAAAAGTTTGTCTCAGGCGATACTTTGTGTTGAATATCATATTGTATTGGTAAAAAATTCTGTTATTTAACATATGTTAAATAATTATATAATAATTATTTTACAGCAATGACCTTCAGCACCTGTACAAACTAGGAAATAGTTGTTCAGTTGGCTCAATATAACAATATGTACTAATGACCATTATTTAATTATGAGATAACTTTATTATTTATATGTAATTAACTTATTTTTAAAATATTTAAATATAAGCATTTATGACTGCTCACATAATGATAAATACTTTTTATTACACTTTTTGCATTTAGAACATGGTTGTCCAATCGCATACGTTGGTGCCTCTAAAAGATTTCCTTCGGAATAATTGCATGCCATTAGCAGCGCATGGACCAAACCGAATTCTGGGTGAGGTTGCAGGAAGAAGGATACCGCGCAGCCCATGTGAGTAGCCTCATCGCGAACCAATTGGGTGAAATGACCTCTTTGGATGCTATTAGATAAATAAAATTAAATTAAAAATACGAAATAATACAACAAATCAGAAAATGACAATAAGCTATAGATTTACAACTATTAGTGTTAATTAATTTAGTGGTTTCCAACCTTGTTGTACCTGCGTCCCTCGTTTCTTTAAATTTATTGTTACACTTTCTTCACATAAGATTTTTTTCACACCCAATTTGATTTTTTGTTTGTATTCGTGAATAGTATTTTGAAAACAATAACCACTCTTACAACAGTACAACATATGGGATATCACGAAAATACTTTAATTTTAATTTAACCAGTTAACTGATTGACGAGTAAACTTGACATGAAAAAGTGACAGAATTTTGTATATTGACGTGTACAGTCGTCATGCATATAAATATTTAACCATTTTGACTATTTATATTGCAAATTTTGAAAAAATGAAACAAACACACTTTGTAATTTAAGATATTTACAATATTGTATGCCCATACAATTTGTACGAGCATTTAATAAAAGCTCGTACTTATGTCATTTTATCTCAAAACATACTTTTCTGACGATTCTGAACTGTACGTACAGCGCACCATGGTTAACTGGTTAATTTAACTTTGACGTATTTTAATTAAACCGTTTTTTAATTTTTGTTAAATTTGATACCGTAGGGCAAAAATACCGAGGACAATCACACTTCACTCAATAAGTTCGTGGCAATAAGTCCACTCAATAACTAAGAAAAACTCATAATTTTGGCAAATTTTTTTTTTTTATTCAATATAGTTTTCTTCGAAGACGATATACCAATTATAGCGAACTTCGAACATTTCGAAACCATTTTTGTAGTACAATTTGTACTTAGTCACAAAATTCGTTTATCGTCTCATCATTTGGCAAATATTTCTTCAGAGCGAACATCCTTTTGAGATCTGAGAACAGGATATGGTCCCTGGGAAACGGATCTACAGAATATAGTTAGTGGGAAAGCAACTCGGAACCTAATTCATGTTATTTTTGGCGACTGTTTTCGCGGATTTGTGAATTGGTGCTTTGTTCTGATGGAGCAGCACGGTTTTTCTTTTCAAATGGGGCGGTTTTTTCGAGTTTGATCTTTAAATGTTCTAATAACATTATACAATAGTTACTGTTGATAGTTTGGCCCTTTTCAAGATAGTTGATGAATATAATTTTCTGTGTATCCCAAAAAACTGACGCCATAACCTTGCCAACTGATTGGTTACATTTTTTCTCGTCATCGCGTCGGGTACACTCGGTTGATTGTCTATTCGACTTTGGAATGTAGTGTTGAAGCCAGGCCATATTCATGGTAACATATTGATGCAAAACTTCAGTTTTGTTCTGATTAAACAGTTCCAAATACTCTTACGATCATCAACTCGTTATGCTTTTGGTCAATTGTGAGTTTGCGCGGCACCCATTTAGCACAGAGGTTTTTCCTATTCAAATATTTATGAACGATGTGTCCATCACCTACTATTGATATCTTTAGGGTGTTAGCTCTCTCAGGCAATTTTACTTTCCGGTTCTCCAAAACGTTTCGGTGGATCTTTTTTATATTCTCCGGTGTAACCACCTGAATTGGCCTTCCGGAGTGTTCAAGCATTGTCAGTGTCTGTTAGGCCACGATTAAAATCAGCAAACAACTTCTTCACCATCTACCTCGATTTGGAACAATCTAGATAACACTTATCAAGCGATACTTTGGCAGCAGCAGCAATGGTACTTTTACCCATCAAAAATCAATGATAAATCAACCCACGAAATTTCTTTGAATTCATGATTTCGAAAAACTCAAAAATAGCATCACTTGAACCTTTGTAACTTGTAAACTAATCGTTCGATTGTCATGAAATTTTGACATATATTTTTTTTTAGAGTTGTTGCTTCCTAAAAATCATATGGATGATTACATAGCTACATCTTTTATGTGTTATCATACGGACTTATTGAGTGGCGTTATAATTTTATGGTTAATTAAAATGGATATCATACCCATCTTCAATATTGTGGTAGCTTTGTAGAAGTGAAAGCTCGCAATCTGCCACTTCATCATACCATCGTCTGATGATGTCAACTAACAGTGGGTCAGTAACTTGAAAATAATCCAGCGATGTTGACCAAACGCTTCCTAAATTTTGTCCTGCATGCGGAAATTTATCTGAAAAGAAGATAACATTTCAAAAATGCTAGTAGTAAAATAGTAACAACTACATATTAACTAGTAGTAATTAGTAACAAACTTCATAATACGAATTATGTCGTTATACGAATGTAATAATTTTATTGTATTGATTCAAAAACACAAACATTAGGTAAAATTATCTAGTTTGTTTTAGCTATATAGAAATAATTGTGTATTCTTTGTAGTCGCAAGTACTTATTAGGGGCAATGTCATAAAATCGAGAAGGATCATCGAACAATAAGACAGCAAATGGCTTTGGCTTATTAAGTGGTGCTTTGGCATTTATCTGTGGACGTGTTTTATGACATAAATGATAAATCGAACTTAAACTTTTTGTAAGATTTATGTCTCGTTCATCTTTACAGAGGAACGTTTAAGATTGTTGCAACTCAAACGTTAAACTAGTGATATCTCAAATGTTTTGGAAAAAAACGTATTTACCCTAGGCAATTTGTAGATTTTAATATTATAAATGGGAACAAAATTATCTTCTTTTTCTGCCAAAGCATATTAAAGCATTTTTCTTAATCCTTTTGCTACAAGGACTACCTGTTTATACGGGCCTCCACATGACTAGCTTATACATTTTGCTTCAAAAAATCTTTTGCTTTAGAAGAGTAATATTTAATTTTTAAATACATTTTGATTCAAATGATTGTAAAATCTGAAAATACATTGTTGTGCCTGAGCCGAAAAGACTCTCGTAATGAAAGGGTTAATAAAGAGGTTTACCATTCAAAACACTAATAGGGAATCAGTGGGCCCAAAGGCAAACACTTTTCTTACTATGGGCAGAATACTTACAATTAGTTAATTTTTCAAGTTAAAGTTACGGCAGATGACGAGATAAGTGTAATATTTTCATAACAGCATTAAATTATAATCAGACATTGAGTGTCTCTCATGAGAGCCGTAAAAGTATTTTCGTACAAGTGCACTAGTTTTAACGTACACTAATGATTTTCTTTTATTTTCTAATAAATAATAGATTATATCAATATTTTTTATATTACGTTAATTGCTGTTCAGAGATTTCTTTATCAATTTAGTGCGTTAATATACGTACTTATATTTCTACATATTGTTGATTTTATATGTCATTGGGTTGTTTCCATGTCGAATAATGTTATCTGATATTCTAGATTAAAACATTTTTATTACTATAATAATTTTAATGTTTCTCGTTTATTTTTTTAATATTATAATCCTTGATATAAAACACACACACACACTCACATATATATATATATATATATATATATATATATATTTATATAAAAAATATATAATATATATGGATATATATATATATATATATATATATATATAAATATATATATATATATATATATATATATATTTATTTATTTTTTCATATTTTAAATGAATTAATTTGTCAAATATTGTTTATATATGTATCATTCAATCTACGATCAAATTACTAAATATTTCATATCCAATGCTAAACAAAAGAAATTTTGACACAATAAAACTTCTAAATAATTTTTTGAATAAGTAAATTTATTTTTTACATTGTGAAATAATTTAGTAAAGTATGGCAAAACACGGCATGCATGAGTTTAAAAAATTAATATGTCAAACTTAATTATATAATTAATCTGCCAAACACATATACTGTATCTTATTTTAATTTTTGACACGTCTCAGCTGCTTTTCGGCAATAATAATGTAGACATTACATTTTTCTTATTCATAATCATGAATTTATTATATTCTAATATTGTCTAGCTCATAAGTTTCAATGTCAAACAATAACATGTCGTTTTTTGCATTTTTACTATTCATTTTCACAATATTACTATATTTTTATAATCATATACACCCTAAAAAATTCCCTTAACACACTTCAGAAAGATTTATCAAAATCTGAATAATCGTTTAAGAGGAGTATCTCGACTTACATCCGTACAGAAGAATTTTATATATAAGATAAGGTGTGCCAAAACTTAAAAAAAAGTCCTTTAAAAAGTTTTGAAATTAATATGCGCAAATTTCTAATGGAACTTGCCAAGGGACCAGTGTGCTTCTTTAAAGCTTCTTTAAAGCGAATTTTTAACTTCGGTCCTAGAATGTTTTTTGTTCATGTTTTGGCCAAAAATCTTAAACTGTTTTTAAACATTTACACAAATTGTTCTAAATATGTCAGTTGGTAATCGTGCTGAATGTTTCTAAAAATCGGCTGACCCGACGAATATTGATTGAATTTGATTGAGTATGCTAAAATAATATTGGCCTACGACAAGTGATTTGAATCCATGAAATTTGATTTGATTTGATTTCATGAAATTCAAATCCTCATTACGGTTTGGAATATTGGACCGTCACAAAATTTCAAAAAAATATTTTTTCACAAAATATTATCGTCGCAATTTAATAAGTTGCTTCAAATTCATAATCATTAAATAGATTATTTACACATATCGGACAGTTTTTGCAACTTGCCTTAACTATTGTTTATTACGGTTTTTGAAAATAATAATTTTAATAGAATGCCGCGTTAATAACCGATTGCTGCATGGCTTTATCCATCCCCTGTAGTTCAAAATACATATAGCAAAATTAATAAAATTGGAAATTTTATATATGAATGAAATAAAAAATTGATACTTAAAGTCAGATATTCATGACCAGAGTAGTACTGAATTATGAAATATATAAATTATTTTTTTAATTCGATCATATTTTTTCAATTTCTCTTGGGTGCATATCAATGAATATAAAAAGAATTATGCAAGAATCAAAAGAATTGCTGTAGCAAATCAA